ATAACATAATAATATTGTAACTACATAAATATTATCACTAATAAAACTCATAACACTTTTACACAAATTATCTGGACATTGTCCATTGCCAACTCTGTCAAACGGATTCAAAAATACCAATAAAAGAAGGGCAGAAAAAGAAGTGTGTTTTAAGAATGGTGGTGGTAGTTGTCGCCTGCCACTCGTCATTACTCTAGTTGCTAAATTAAAAAATTTTGATTTTCTTTGCTTGCTTAGGAAATTATTAATCAAAAAAAAAATACCTTTTTCATGGGAGCAGGTGGTAAGTGATTTCTATCAATATTAATATTTTTATTTATTATCATTACCATTTGTTATTATCATTGGTTTATAAGATATGATGAATTTACTAAGAGAAGCCATTTTGGCTAACATCTTTAGTTGGGAACTGATCCCGTGGAAAAGCTTATTCAAAAAATAAACTATTCAAAAATAGTTTTATTAGATGGAAATCCATTAAGGCTTTGATAATTAAAATTACAATTGTCAACTGTATTTAGGCAAAAAGAATCTGGTAAAATAGCTATTGGCAATAAATTTATCTACATTCATACATATATTTAATAAGTAACTATCTAATTAAATTTCTTTTCTTTTAGTCTTTATAGAAATGTTAAATGATTAGAGTGGGTTTTGTATCTCAAAAGACAACAGATATTATGAATAAATTGATAAATCCACCAAAATATCCTGATGACGGAATTCTAGTTACTAAATTGTAGGTTGAAACTATATTATAATATATACATACATTGAAAATTTTACATATATATTATGGATAATAATATAATAATATTATATTTATAGATATCCAACTATACATACAGCCCAAATTGGTTTGGTGATTTTGATGGTCAAAATTATTCCAATTTTGATAGTAGAAAGTAGAAATTAATTATGGCGTTCACTGATGTAACCCCTTTATGACAGTGTCAAAGTACTTTGGGCTGCATGTATATATCCAACAAATTCCAAAGTAAATGAAGTAAATAGTTACCATTTAGAAAAGTTAAAAACGAAAAAATATACATATTATTCCATTGATTATGATCCTCCAAGATATGGTCAAATACAGAAACTGGTAGTGATGTTAGACGGCTAATAATCTGCATGCATAATTTCTAAATTTGGTAATAGATTTCTACGTTACTTTCTTATTATAGAAATAAAATTACCAATTTAGGTAGTAAACGGCTTAGCCGGCTAAGGATTTTTAAACGGCTAACATCACTAGAAACTGGTGCATAATTGCTTAGCATTACATGAATTGGAATTAAAACGCGGATCACAAGTAATGCTCATTAAAAATATCAGAAAAGATCTGGTCAATGGGAGCAGAGGTGTCATTGTTGGTTTTTATTTAAAACCACCAAAAAAAATATTATAGGGGTCTCAGGACCAAAATCAAGATTTTTGATTCAATTTATTCTATAAATAGTTAAAGTTTTGAGTAATGTTAGCATAATAAAACCTTGTACAATTGAGTCTTCTTTGTTTTCGTAGTGATTTTTCTTTTAACAAATTCGGAAATGATCATCATTTGCGCACATTTAATTAACAAAAAAAAATTTTATTTATGGTTCTGAACAATAAACATCCACTAATATGCTGACGAATTTTGAATACAAGTCTTCTTTCTTTTTTCTGATAACAGTTCTACTGGAAGAACCTCTGGATGATCAAGAAAATCAAAATTATTTTTTAAAAGTAAAAAAGGATTTTCAATTCCATTTGATTCTTTTGAAACATAGACTTTTCCAATATCATCTTTTTGATAATATTGTCTGATTTGAGGTGAAGGAATAAAATGATCTTTTAAAAATGAGTCAAAATCATGCCATATCCAACCCAATTCACTATTGCATCTAATTGCTTCATTACCTTTAGTTGAATTAATAACAATATTTTCAATATCACCAACAATGTTTACAGATTGGTTTCTATATAATGCCAAAGCTATTCATTTGTATTACAATGATAATAATAAACTAATAAAAATTTTTTTTGAAAAATTTTTGTGCACAAAAAAAAAATCAAATTTATTGGTTGAAGTTTGATCAATGATTACTCAAAAAAAAAAAAAATTTTAGATGAGGGGTCGATTTTCCTAGTCCAACTCCCATATATATATTAATTACATATACTTTATTGAACATTATTTCTAACATTTAATTGAATAATAATAGATCCCTCTTTTGCCTGCATGGGCAATAACAATACACAAAAGCCAAGCCCAAACTGTGGAACGGCTTAAAGTAGTGTTCCATGTTGCAATCCAAAAAAGAAAACAAAATGGTTGTAAAGGTGGTTGCAACCAGTGGTTGCAATTGTTTTTATATGACGCAAAGATGGTAGCAACCATCATCAAAAGTTGCAGCCGGTATCCTTAGCTTAAAGTTGATTTGAATAATGTTTTTGCTAGTGGTTTGTATTTATTTGTTATTTTTGTTAAGAATTTTTTTAATTATTATTAATATAAAATTGTCATATATTACAAAATAGGATGTGTGTATGTAGCTTCATCCAGAGCAATGTCTTTGGGGTCTTTACAAGTGTTAAACTTTAGTAAAGATAAGGTTGTAGCTGACCCCAAGGCAATTATATTTTATCAATCATTATCACAGGGTTAGTAGAAAAATCTAACATAATATGCAGGTCATCAGATTAAAAAATAATTGTTAATTTTTTATTTTAAACTAGCATCATCACCTTCATCATCATCTTTGTCTCTAAAGACTAGTGCCGTAATCCAAAAAAGGAAAAAGTATGGTTACAAAAGTGGTTGCAAAGGTAATTGCAACCACTTTTTATATGCCATAAATACAATTACTACAATCATCATAATTTACGGCACTAGTCTTTATTTGACTCCTTCATTACCACCAAGTCACAATAACACAAATAAAGATCATGATAAAGAAAATCTATCTAAAAGGTTAAAATTAGCTAAATTAAGAAAATTTGAGGCAGATGCCGAAAAGGCCAAAATTGAGGCCAGAAGAGCCAAAGTCTTGGCAGAATTAGATATTAGAAGGCTGAGCAGAAACTGAAAAGGCCGAAATTGAGGCTAGAAAGATCAAGATCTTAGCAGAATTGAATATTAGGGAGGCTGTGGCCGAAGTAGATAAAGCTGAAACAAATCTAGGAAAGCCAAATGCTGCAGAATTTAATAATTTTTAGATGTAATTTTTTTTTTAGAAAATTGAACATAGAAAACTTAAAGCTGGATTAATATTATTGATTCATTACAAATATATAATTACAAATAATTTTGGTGGCAGGTTAGCTTTAAATTAACAATAGGTTAATTGGAGTAGGATTACGTGTAAAAAATTTGTAAATTTTTAATAATGCATTAAATTTTAAATAAATAAACATGATTTCAAGGCCTCACTTTAGCAAAAAAAAAAAAAAAAATAATTACAAATAATTTTATCAATATTTAACTCCATTTTTAGCATTTGTAAGCATTCTGCCAATAATTTCTTCATCTATATTTAAATTTTCAATTGATTCTTGATCATTATTATTTTCATCATTTTCATTGTTATTTTCACATTCATTTTCTAATTCATCTACCATTAATATATCTTCATCTTTTTCTAACCTTTTTAGATAAGAATTAACATTATCAAATATACCCTTTTTATAAAACTCTGTACAATGCTCACAACTTTTTTCTAATGTTTCAAAGCAGTCATAATGGTAACTATGACCACAGACTAATACATCCCCATTATACTTGGGAAGATTTGGATCAAATTTATTGTTACAATGGTTGCATTCATCTGCTTTTGGAACATGTGATGTATGATATTCAGAGGGAAAAATTTTATATCTACTGTTTTATTTAGTGTGCAGAGTTTATATTTTGTTAATTTATATTTATTATTGAAGATTGGTTGACTGCAATTTAAATTTTCATAAATTGATGAAAAATATTCTATTAAGAAGCAACTTGTTTTTTTCTTTAAATAGCTTAAGGTTGACATGGTATAAGGATATCCTTTAGTATTTGAAAAGGTGTTTACAAATGATTCATTTTTACGAGAATCTATTATGAATGCTTTCTGTATAGTTGACTCTGCAGAAGAAAGCTTATGTGTTTGGGCTCTTATTCTACTGTGTACATTTTCAACAAAGTAGTCATTAAAATTTACTAATGAATTCTCCAATAATTTGGCAAATGGATGGTTATTACTTTTCCAGTAAAAGTAATCTGATAAGAAGGCTAATGGAAGTTTATTATAATTTTTTCTTTTCCATCTTAAGAAAAAGGTCCAGATTCTAAAGATTGTTTCTAGATATTGGTCAAAGGCACCTTATCAAAAAAGTATTGCATATATATCTAGAGTTGCTGGAATAATATTATCTAATAGATCTATCATCATCCTATATTCCACATCTTTGGTTTTACCAAATTTTTCTATTATCACATCAGAAATTTATAGCCAACCATCACATGCAAATTGAAGAATATAATTAAACTTTCATGGTTTGGGTTTTTCTGGAAAATTTGCCTTCTCAAAAACATTACAATATAATTTTTTGAAAAAATCATGATATAGAACAATAAAATCTTCACATGAATTCAGAGAAACATGTAAAGGCCCCAAAAGTTAAGTGTATGATCCATATTTGTTGATTTTTTAAATACAATGTGATGGCTTTTCTTATAAAAAGCTGTCCTGGAAAGTCAGCTATTACAGGTATAACATTGAATTTAATATTCAAAACAAGGCTGGGGTTTAATCATTGAGTTCACAGTTTTGTAAATTGTTATAACTAAAATATTGAGATTTACCATGAGACATTATATACTGTGTGACTAAACTCTACCCTTAAATTTGTGATGATTATAATACATTCAATGTTGTCATTGACATAACAAAAAAGTGCATCACATAATACCAAGACCATGCAGAAAATGAAATTTTTTAAGGGATACAATTTAAAAACAATAATGCATGTCTATCCAGATCTTTGAGATTCACAAAAAATAAATAAATGGCAAGGATCAAAAAAATTATTTTTCCTTCCTGTTGTATAGTACCTTAAAAATTAATAATAAATCTGATGATGATTACAGGTGTCAGGTTTAATAAATGTTTCCTATCACAAACCATGCAAGATGGCACAATTAAGTATGACTCAGCACCATGAAACTTTTTCCACAGGTGAGCCATCAGACATGTTGGAAGGCTTAATATAAGATGGACAAAAACTTCCTTATCTTTCCCTGGCTGTTACCACATGACCCTACTCAAAATTATAAATTTGGTTAGTATCAAAGAAACATAAAATTTTAGGGAATTAATTTACATAAAATAAACAATATTTAGATCTTTCCTCATAATGCCAAAACATACCAGAAATCCATCCTGGATCACAACTTCTTCCTGTAGCAGCATGCATATCCAAGTAATTCCAGCTCAGGTAAAGTTAGGTAGGATTCACAAAACATCCTTGGAAATGAAGCAGCTTCAATAAACTCCAGGGCTGTGCGCCACCTCCCTGAGAATTTAGTTGCATCATTGTATCATCAGGCGAAACTTGGTAAGATTAGTCTTTTGTGACATGAGGAACGTGTGAGAATGACTGTAAATGTTGGATAGCATGTTGATGCTTGCCAATTTCCTATAATAAAATGTTACACGTCAACTGCAACGGCAGTTGTGTTCATCCTTTGACACCTTTTTATAATTATGTTATTATTTAGTATTAATATTAATAATAATTATGAAAAGCAAAAATGATACCAATTGTTTATTATTATCCATGGTAAAGAATCTTGTAATTACCCAAGACATGACAAGTTCTGCTCCATGTTTTGATTGCAACAATACATTTGTATAAAATAATAAAAAACATATATATCTTGCTATTGATAAACAACGTGCCTTTCTTTTTGAACCAACCAAGATGATAAACATGAATAATGTTTGGTATGATGGCCATTAAAATCGGGTGATCTACACGGTTTTTGTTTATTTTAAGTAGAAATACGACTATCTTATACTAAAAATATTACACAAACAAAAATTTGGTATTAACTAAATGATTTACAAAATCCGGGTCAAAATCTTATTGTCGTTGTGTATTTTCTACTGAAACAACCCCATATGACAACCATAAAATCCGAGAGCTGAAATCAATTGAAACTTTAAAAAGATGCTATCTGTGGAAAATAATAACAAAAATAACATCAATTCTTGCAAAATAGATGTATATCCTACACAATTTTTATTTTTATTTCCTTTGTCAAACACTTGAAAAAATATATATATATATATAGATTTGTTTGACTATAGACAAATGAGTTATCTATCTGTTAATAATTAAATAATATTTAGAAGCAAAAAAGTTTTATATTTTAATTAATTATATAATAATCAATTATTCATCATCTGATAATCAATCTGATCTAATAACCAAATCAGATAAATCGACATCTGTTCCAGGTTCATTAAGGAATGGACTGTGATTTTCAAATTGACTAAATAATTTAAATGATATAATAAATGATTTTTAAAAATGAACAAAAAACAAAAGAGAAAAAATCAAATTGATGAAATAATCATTAGTTTACTTACTAACGATTCCTTAGTCTATAAATAGGTGGAACTTGTGCTTCACCAAAAATAATCCTAATAGTTATAATAATTACATAATAAATAAACGTGTATTAAAGTCATCCATTTATTTATTTCTCTACTAAATATTCTTCTTACTTGTCTTTTGATTGTTCAACAGCAAAATATAAATGTTCTAAATTACGTCTTCGATATTCAGATTCTGGAGTAATCAATGTTTCAATGTACTTTGTAAATTATATATAGAAAAGAAAAGAGAGAGAAAGAGAGAAAGAGAGAAAGGAAAAAGAAAATTAATAGTAATAATAAATTATACACACACACAAACACACACACACACACACACACACTAACCTCTGTAATTGGATGCTTTTTCTAAACAGTTAATAAAGAATACAGCAAGTTAATACGGATATTCTTAATCAATTACATAATAAACTTGTGTATTAAATATTAATTAAAACAAAAAAATTTACTTCTCCATTTTTTGTAATGTATTGACCAAAGTGATACCACGCAAACCCTGCTAAAACAAATAACAATGCGTTTCTCCATGCCGCTGAATTAAACCCTTTTTAAATAATTTGATTAATTAATCAATAATTATCCACAAATGAAAAAAAGTAAACATATATATATATGAAGAATTTGTTTTCAAATAAATTGATAAATAAACACCTTCTTTTTGAACTGCATTTTGAGTGTTTGTAGCATAATGATTACGTAGTAGTAGTATTCTAGTTTTATTGTTGTTATTATTAATAGAATGTGAAAAGTGAGTGGAAAAGAATTTTGGTCGCCAAATTCGATTCATTCTTTATATCATAATAATAATTAAAAAAAAAAATTTCACAATTTAGAAATTCGTACAACAACGATTTGTGAAATTTGTGGGATAATAATAAAGGATATAAGTAAATTTGTAAACAAAAAAAAAAAAATTACCATCAGTAGGGAAGGAGTTGAAGTAAAAATAGATAGACCGACTTAATTAAATGTAGAAGAATTCAAGTATATTCTACAACACACAAGATTGAACAAAGCCTCAAAATATCAAGCTATTTTTGAAGCACCAACTTATTGATTGGCAACTTTACAAAAAAATTTTTCATTTGGTGAGTTTACGACACACATGATGGGAAATTCTTTGTTCTTTGTTGTAATTGTAGTATAATCTTAAAGATCTTTAAGATTCCGTATGTAGGAAATTTATGCATTAGTATCATTGGCTCTGGTTTCCCCTAGAACTTTTAAGGGTAAGAGCAAAACAATTTTAAATTTTAGAATATTTAAAAAGTTTTCTTGGCAAAACTTTGTCCATTTGGAATAATTACAGATGCATCAAGCTTTTTTTAATGGCAAATTAAATCTAACCAAAAGTAAAAAATTATATTTGAGAAGATAAAAATAAGGATTTATGGTTTGAAGCCTGATTTTGTAATTAAATGTAATGATACGAAAAATATCCGAGGAATTTTAGAGGAGTGGAAATGAAGACAATTAAGTAATAATAATTTATTATTTGTAAATTAATCGGTAAATAAAATAAATATTATTCTAAAGTAAAAGAGATAAAAAAGACATCTTAGTAATAAGTATTATGATCAACAAGGTTAATAATAATAAATATATAAATGTGTATGTGTTATTGTGTGTATGCGAATTATATAAATAGTTCAATCCCTTGTGCTATAATCTTAATCTATTTATAAAAATAAAAATTATATCTAGTAATACGAAAAATGAAAAATTGTTTGCATTGTTTTTTTGTAATCAATCAATCATTCATTTATTGTTTTATGAAAGGGGTAATTTCGGCCATTTGATCACAAACCATTCCATCATAAAGCAAAGCGAGGAAAGACGGTGCAGGCGGGAAGATGGTTTGATCTGGAGGCATATCAACCGTAATCTTGTAAACATTTGAATCAGCTGTTGCAGGTGGTTGAACAAGTGTTATAGCCAATTCAACGTATCTTTGCGACATGTGTTGAGAATGTGTGACAAAACCAAAATGAATTATTGAAGCGGTAAGTAATGTTTGTTGGAAGTTGGTGACTGTTAACTTAAAGGTGATTTCTAATGATTGTTTATAATGTGCTAAAAGCGTTACAGAATTCAAGTTATTTCCAGCTACGGTTAGAATGGTGAGTCTTGGTTTACCCGTTAAAAGTGCCGGTGGTGTAAACAATTCGATACGATATCTTTTTATATTATAAATAAATTGAATACGTATATATACACGGTTATAGAAAGAGAGAGAGAGAAGTTAAAAAAACCAATTTTTAAAAAGTAAAAATAAAGAAGAAAAGTTACTAACTCTGTTGGGTATGTTGATCCAACTTCAACATTTGGTTGTGGATTACTTCCAGCAATTATTATTCTACCGTCACCTAATAAAGATGCAACTGAGTGATACATTCTTGAAATTGTGGATGGTGCAAGTTTTTTGTATGTTTTTGCAGTAACATCATAAAATGAAGGTGCATAAACTGGGTCATTACAAATATATAATGGATTGTCTGGTTTTCCTTTGTCTATATAAAACAACCATTATATTGTTGTTGTTATTATTATTATTATTATTATTATTATGATAATTTAATAAAAGAATTAATACTAACGAAATCCGGCATATCCTGTAGCACCGCCATTAAAAAACAAAAGATTTCCTTCAGATGTAATAACAACATCCGGCATAACTCTTGCTTGACCACCAAAATCATCCATTGCCCATGCTGGAGCATCTACATTTAAATTTAATCTACCACATGAAGCATCAGCAGGAGAAAGCGGAGTAGCCCCAGTTCCACCACCACATACCATTATTTCTGCAGAATAATTTGTAGCTGGTCTTAATGGCAACAAGACCGAACTACCAGTCAAGGGATATACACGTGGAGAAATTCCAGGCATGTCAGGATAAGTTTTCAAAGTTGTGGTAGTATCTAAATCAACAAGTATACTTTTTTTATTGGCAAACACAAAAGCTACATTCTTCAATTCGGCATTAGGTATTACATGCACGAATGGATAAAGATTATATGGCAGACTAAAAATAATTTTTTAAATAAATAAATAATACATTATTAGATTAGAATAATAATTGAAGTGATGTTAATAATAATGATGATATTTATCATAGCAATATTAATGGTAACAGTGTACACTTACGTATCAACCAAAAATTGGAAATTGAGTGGCACAGCTGGTGAACCATCAGGAGTTGGAAAGAATTCATAACTAGGAGAATTGATTTCAGCTCTGTTAGGACCGGTTGCTTTTTTGGAACCACCCATTGTCATTACTCTTCCATCTGGCATTCTAAAGAAGATAATTATTTTATTGAATTACATTCAATAGTAATATAAAAAACATGATAACAATAATAACAACAACAATAATAATGCTTACGTAGCCATAGCAGGGTACCATCTATAATTTGTCATGAAATTAATTTTTTCGTACATAGTACCAACAAAAGGATCATAAATTCTAATGGTGTTACCACCGTCTTGAAAGTTATTCTATTGGTTGAGCAAAATATTGTGAAATACAATTTTTTTAAATGAAGAAAATAAAGAATCGGATATAAACAATAACTTACACCAGGTTGACCACCACCATCTGATATCAATGAACCATTACTATACCATGAACCCGCAGAACAAAAAGTATTAGTGGCCAGATCAATCGCACGAACATTTTTTGTTGTTAGATCGAATTCTGCAGCAATAGCAGATAAGCCATCGGATTGTTTTAATTCATTTGCTTCGACTAAAAAAAGATAATGTTGATGTTAGTTGGCTGGTTATTAATGGGGTTGTAATTGATTGACATGGGTAGAATTGATTAATTAATCACCTTTATCAATAAATAAAATTTTAGTCGATGATAAAACCGCCATGTGCATTGCAGAGACACCAGATCTATTAAAGATCGACAATTATTAATTGAGATTGATCGATTGGTTGATGGTTGATTAAAAGCAAATTCAGAAAGAATATTACTACTTACAATCCATATAACTCCCACGTCCCTAGAGTTGGATCATCAGCTCTTTCTAAAAAACATTAGAAAGATAATTTAATAATTAATTCATTTTGCTAGTTGTTGATTAATCAAATAATTACTTTGATAATGATCCCAATGCATAGGAGATCCCGTGACCAAAATTGTAAACAATAAACATAATGTCAACAACAAATTAAGACTTGGCAACATCATATTTTTCTTTTTTTAAATTCAAGGTTCTTATTATTCAATTATTTTTATAATTTTAGTTTTTGTTGCTTGTTTTTTTTATTTAAAACAAAACTTCTTTGATCATTATATTACAATAACAAATATTTAAAAATATTTATTATTTGTAGTTTTTATTATTATTTATTGTCAAGAAAGAAGAACTTTCAAAGGAATAAAAATAAAAATAAAAGAAATTTTATTCTTCGTAAAAAAAAAAAAAAAAAGATTATTTATCTAAAAAATAAAAATAGCAATAATGTATATAGAATGGAAATAGTAATAATGTATATATAATGGGAAATAGTAATAATGTATATAGAATGGAAACAGTAATACCATGCTAACTTGATCCAGAATATTGATAATTGAATTAAATAAAATGGTCGGATTAAATTTTTTTTTCATCAGGATCGTAGTCGTAAATAATGCATTAATAAAAAGCCCTTCCTAATATGGTTAGAAACTAATTATTATATAGTTGTGCAAAGTAAATACATGCATGTGTTTGAATTAGTTAGTTAATTTCTAAAAAAACGCAAACGATCAATGATTTATTTATATATACACATATACAAACATACATACATCATCATTCTTGGCCTTGGCATTGGCATTCCCCAAAGGGTTTTTTTCCCCGTAAAATTTCCAAAAATAAAAATTTGTGCGACTAAAAAATAACAAACACATATTTATTTTTATTGTAAAATGATGGAGGGGGGGGGGGGCTAACCGACAATAAAAAATTCTCATATTTTCTAAACAATATCCCGATTGGTTTTTGTTTTAATAATAATAATCTAAAAATATAGAAAATTCATATTTATCAAAGATTAAAAAAAAAAAATGACCTGATGTATTATTTTTAATCCATTTTAAGTAAATAATTGTATAAATAAGAATATAAATTAGTAGTGGTAGTACAATACATCATCCATTTATCGCAAAAAACAACTAAAGAATTTTTATTCATAGTACTAATTTAACTGGCCAAGACCAATTCACCAACCTTAATAAGTCAATTTATTATTTATTATTGGAATATTCTCTAATCTCTGCAATTTATCCCAAGATAAGCATAAACAATAAATTTGCGTTACTAATGATATATTCTGGTAAAATTTTAACCTTAATTTTACCTATATTCAACAAATATATGGCATAATTCACACAGAAAAATTTTTTATCAACAATCTTGTTTATTAACGATTTTATAGAAATTTAACCAATTGATCAATATTAGTATATAAAAAAAATTTAAAAAAAAAAAAATAATAAAAATAAATACAATATTTAATTAACCTATTTGGGTATTAAAATCCTAATTTAGCTTACAATAATTCCCAATAGTGGCTTATATTTTTATAATGATGATGTCCTGGATAAATTCCGGACTCACGATTGGGCAAACGTCATAATGATAGCTAGTCATAATGAATAATGATACCAAATAAATTTATTCCCGTTATACTTATTAAATTAATTGTATATGAGGACAATGAATTGAAAGTGATCCTATTGTAAAATTGTATAATAATAAAATAATTGACTGTTATAGAAGTATGCTGCGGTGCAATACAGTGTATGCCATGCAAATGACAATCAAAAGCCTTGTTGATCAATAAATGATTAAATGATCAACATTTCGTGCAACGATTATGTAAATGCATAGTTGTTCTTTAATAAATCGTGCCTTTTTCGTTTTAAAAAAGCATTTTTATCCAAAAGAACCTCTTTTAGGTATTTCGCAACAACAACAACAACAAAAAAAAGAACTATGCAAGTGTGCTAAACATAATCCTAGTTTAACTCAGGATAAATTAGTTAAAAAATTTTTGAAATTAGTCAAAGCACAGTTCAGTAATTTTATCATTATGAAAACAGAATTTTAGTTTCAAAATATATTATAAAATCATACGATAATGATTCTTACATGGCGTTATATGAATTTTCATTATAATAACATTCTTTACTTGCACGGAGGATGCCATTACAACGGGAGGAATGAATGATTTGTGCCAATAAATAGTTATTGAGTAACTTAATCGAGTGTTTATTGAACACGCCCGGGGAAAAACAAGTGTTTGTGTGTATTTAATGGAAGAAAAAAATGGTTGTTGTTGTTGTTGTTGTTGCTGTTTTTATTTTTCGAAGTTTCAAGAATTTTCTTTTAGAATATATATATGAATTTTAGGAAACTCCATGTAATATGTAATGTGTGTGTGTAACTTACATTGAGATAACAAATATGGCACAGAGTGTATACATGTAAAACGTAAAACGAAAACAAACAAATAACTGTTTATATCATCAAAATTCAACTCAATCTGATAATGCCAAAATCGTTTGTTTGTGAGAACAAATTCATTTAATAGTGATAATTAAAACGATAAGGATTTAAGATTTTAAATTAGGACTTTTTTATTTTTTTTTTTAATTCAATTATCCGTTTTCATCCATTCGTCATTCATCATTCATTCATTCATCCATTCATTCATTCATCATTCATCCATTCATCCATTCATCCATTCATCCATTATTTGCCCACCACTCGTCATTCATTCGTCATTCATCATTTACCATTCATTGAGTGTGCGACAGACATTCCAAGAAAACCAATCTCTAATTAATGTAATTTTTTTTGTGATCGACATAATTTCTAAAATATATTGTTTTATATAAATATAGACACTGTAGATTATGGCGTGTTTCATGGTGAAAACCTTCAAAAAAAACAAATATAATTGATTTTCAGAATGTGTATGCTCAAGAACAAAATTAAGTGGTGCGAAAAACCATAGTTCTAAATCACACACACACCATATATTTTTTATTATCTTTTCACGTAAATTCGGCCAGTGTCTATTTATATCATTGAAAATGGTATTTAGGAGGTATTATGCTGATCGTGAAAACAAATATATGTGGCCAATCAATAATACACGCACACCTATTGAGAAAATTTTTTTGGATTGTTTCAAACAAATAACAATTTGTGTTTCCACATGATGATTTTGGTCCCTTCCGCTCTTTTTTCTTTCTTTCCCTCTCTCATTCTCTCAATAATAATAGTTGTAAACACAAAAAACTAGTTATTATCAATCGAGATAAATAGGAAATTGATTATATTACTTGCTAAAAACATCATAATTAATTGATTATAAATGAAAATTATCATTTAATAATAATAATAATGTGTTGGAGTGCGTGTATGAGTGATACAATAAATATTTTTGTATTTTTGGGTTTCATAATACCTATATACAAATATTTTTTCTTCGATCGATTTGTAAAGAAAATAACAAGAGAAAACTTGATTTATATATATATATATCATTCATTTGCTTGCAACAATATCATTGTAATGGCGTATCGCCAAATTTGTTCTTTGAAATTAATTCACTCTTTAAAAGCCTATTTCATGTTTCAAACTGTTCAATTGGTCTGTTTCACTCTTTTAGTAAATCTTTACCTTATAAGTTATGAAAATGGTTTTTAATTTAGATGAATTTTTGTTTGTTTTTTAATCGGTTAAATTTTGCCGATTTCTTAATTATCTGTGATTTTTTATGGTAAATTCTGATATATAGAATAATAATCATGATTATTAAAAAAAAATAAAATTTAATTAAAAGATAACATAAGGAGGCAGGGGAAAGAAGATATCGGACTTTTTATTTACAGAAAAAGTAATTAATCTCAATTTGAATAAGAAACAAATCATTGACAACTAAAACAACTGCATAAAAAGAACACTAACCTTCTATAATATCAACTTATGGTTATTGTGAATATGATAATTAAATTTTTATATTTATGAAATGATGACGACGTAATCAATCAAATAAACCCCCCCTCCTTAGGAATCCCTAATATTCGGTCAAGTTAAACGGACAGCAATTTGCCACACACGACAGCCCTGAAAAAAGTTAAAAATAAAATCATATAACAATCATATAAAAAAAAAATTTATATATAACCATTGGAAATTTATTTTCTTTTAAAAAAAATTAATATTAATATTAAAATTAATTTTATATATATATATTAATAAATTTATTTCCTTTAAAATTAATTATATTATACATAATAAATAAAAAATTTATTAAAATAAATCGACTAATTTTTTTTCATAATCATCATATAATAATCATATAATCATTTCGGAAAATCAGAAATTATGAATAATAAATTAAAACATTATCTCACGTTTTATTTTTTTCTGATTTTTTTTATTGCCCTCAATAATGTTGCTGCTGCCCCTCTGTCAGCATCTTTAGATAGTAAGCAATTAAAATTTTTTTAGTAAAAAAAAAAAAAGCGCGTTTTTTATTAGTCGTTTAATTAATCCGTTAATTTATCTTTATAGAAAGAGCACCTGGTGATAATCTTGGTGCGTTTGCTATAGTTGGAAAGTAAGTATAACTTTCTTGTCATTCGTGATTGGGTCGATTTTATTAACTATTACTATTATTATTATGATATTTATCCAATCGATCACCGTATTAATTATCTTCTTCTGCTGCTTCTTTAGGACTGGCGTGCTATCAATGCACATGTCATTAGTCAATCACAATACTGTTATAATGATTGATAAAAGTAAGTCAAGATTTCTCACGTTCAAAAAAAATGCTCTTTTTTTTTCATGCGAATAACAAAATAATTAATAATAAAATTTTCGTTAAATCAATAGATGAAAATAATCCCTTGAAATCAGCAGACGGTACTAAACCTGCAATAGTGGCTCTTTACCATCTCGACGATAACACTGTCACTCCAGTAGAATCTCTTACTGACACTTTTTGTTCTGGTGGTTCTTGGTTCGGTGATGGGACCTTGTTAAATACAGGTGGTGATTTTGAAGGGGTAAGCATTGCAAATCTTTTACAATTTTATTTTATTTTATTTTATTTAATAACCGATTAATAACATCTATTTTTTTTTTTTAATAAAAGCCCAAGGGCAATGGTTTTGCTGCTGGTGGTCAAACTGTAAGAAAGTATACACCTGGTACCAATAATTTGCAAGAACTCCAGACTGCCATGCAAACTAAAAGATGGTATCCAAGCGTTGTCACGTAAGCTCTTTTATTATTACGATTTACGATTTTATTATTTCACGTGACAATATATTAATTTTTTATTTTTTAATTAAAAATAGACTTGCTGATGGTAGAGTTCTTATAATAGGTGGATCGACTGGAGGAACAGGTCTTAATACTGCAAAATTGAATAATCCTACCTATGAAATATGGTCAACTAATGACACTGTAGGACCCGCCCAAATTCCACTTGCATTCTTGGCAGATACGTAAGTGTTCCTCTTGGTTGTTCATTCGTCATCTGTATTTTTTTTTAATTATTAAAATCTTATACATCTATATTATCGATTATATAGATTACCGTTCAATTTATATCCAATAGTTCACATAGTTCCAAATGAAGCAAAGAAAAATCTTATCTTTGTATTTGCCAATAAGAAATCCATCATTTATGATTTAGATACTGCAACGGTAGTTAAAGCACTTCCTGATTTAGAAGGTGCAACACCACGTGTCTACCCATTGACCGGTACCTCCGTGTTCCTACCATTGAAACTGGCTTCAACATACAAAACTGAAATTATGATCTGTGGTGGTGGAACTGCTCAAGTGCCAAATGCAGCTGCTGATTCAACATGTGGTAGAATGGATATTTTGGCTCAGAATCCTGCTTGGGAAATGGATAATTTCGGTGGTATAGCTCGTGTTTTGCCCGATGCTGTTATATTACCTGATGCAAAAGTTTTGTTCTTAAATGGTGGTGGTGTAGGTTTCGCTGGTTTCAGAAAAGGTACTCCAGACAATGTAATATGGTCTTCTGATCAACCCGTATTAACTCCAGTCTTGTACGATCCTGATACAAAAACATACACTACACTTGCCGCATCCACCGTTCCTAGACTGTATCATTCAACTGTTACCTTATTAGCTGATGGTACAGTCTTTGTTGCTGGTAGCAATCCACAACCAAGTGTTAATCTTAATGTTTTATACCCAACTGAGTAAGTGGTTTTGTTTATTATTGTTTGTTGTGTGTGAATTTCAAATAGTATACAAGGGTATTAATTTTTTCCCTTTTTATTTCTAAAAAAGATACCGAGCAGAAGTTTTCACTCCACCAAACTTACAAACAGGGGCAAATAGAGCCACCATAATGTCAGTAGATGGTCAACCAATAAATCAAGATACTCCCCAAATAGTAAATTTTGGAAAATCCATTACTGTAATTGTTCAATACACATCAACAACCACTCCAACTTTCACTTCTGCTTTACAACATACCGGTTTCAGCACACATTCATCACTCATGTCACAACGTTACGTTGAATTGGCAGTAACATCATCAGCTCTTGTGGCCGGAACAACCGATCAATATACTTTACAAATTGGATTACCTCCCAATCCTACTTTGATAGCTTCCGGTCCTCTTTGGTTAAATGTTTTGGTTGGTAATATACCAGCTATGAAAGCTGCAAGACTTATAGTAAACGTATGATTATACATAATAATAGAAAAAATAGACTATATAATAATAATAATAATAACATGGACAATAATAGATGGAATGATTAATAATATATTATGTATTCTTTAGACTTTTTTTTACAAGTCTGTGTCACTATTATAATATAATTTTTTTTTTGGGGCGTGAAATTTTTGAGTTTGAATTTTTTTTTTTTTGTTAATGCCATTTTTCTTGTTATTATAAATTTTTTTTCTAATATATAGTAAAAATGGTTTGATTTCATTTCATTTTTGTATATAGAGAATAAAAATTCTTTTAAAAAAAAAATCTTTACACAAGATTTTTTTAATAAACTCAAAAAAACAATATAATTAATTAATTAATCAATTAAAAGAACATATTATTTCCACTATACTGATGTTGTAATTCGACATGACTTTTCAAAAACTCTCCAATCGTTTCGAAATAACCCGATTGAGAAATCATATCAGAATGTCTACCACCTGGAAATTCTTTCCAACACTTTCCCAACTTTGTATTTGTCAAATCGTATAACGACTTCATTTGCGATTGAGGAACTAATTTGTCTTGTTTGCCTGACAAAAAGAGTATTGGAATGGTGTGAAGTTTGGTGATTGATTGATGGGATGGCCATATTTGTGAACATAAAAATGTTAAATAATGAAATGGTGTAAAATGTGTTGTCACTAATTGTGGCTATATATGTATGTATGTATGTATGTATGTATTGGAATTGTTTAATGCGATTTAAAAGGTGATTATTATTACTATTATTATTATTTTCACTTACAATGCTTAGAAATGTATTTTCAACTATCAATCCACCAATCTTTAAAAATAAATAAAATAAAAATAAAAATAATCAATATGTGTGTGTGTGCGTATATATATATGTGTGTATGTATGTATGTATTTACTTTATCTTCATTCTTGGATGCCAGATCAATTGCAACAGCTCCACCAAGCGATCTACCATACAGTACAACTTTGGTATTTTTAAGAATATAATGCTTCTTTATATAATCTAAAGCAGTTTGTGCATCTATTTTTATTCCATCTTCGGTTGGCTTTCCATCACTTTTTCCATATCTAAAGAGAGTGTGTGTGATGAGAATTAGTAAGATGTATGAAAATAACAAATGAAAATAAAATCACTCGTTTTTTACCCTCTATAAGAAAGTAAAACTACATTACACTTGAATTCTTTATACAACTTTTCTACTATTGTAGACTTTTGACTCTAATCATCATCATCATCATCATCATCATCATCATCATCATCATCATCATCATCATGAAAATTATTAAAATTAGGATTGGTTGGTTGGTTGGTTGGTTGGATTAGGAAAATACGAAAATCAGGATAAAACTTTAATCATTAAATCCCAATTAAATTAGGTAAAAACCAATCAAGATTAAAGTTTGAGTAATATAAATAAACAACTCAACTATATTTATTCTATTTCCCTTATTAAACAAACAAATATATCATGTGTGAATTAGATAGGTGGATAAAAAGGAACATGCAATTAATTAAGATAACGTTGTGGATAATATATACATGTAATGCCAAGACTGTAATCTTTTCAACCATAACTTCTTCTACTTCTTCATTGATAGTTGTGATAGGTTGCTTGCAAATATATGCACGAATTCTTATCTTATCATTTGTAGTTAATATGGTTTCAGTGAATGGAATCTGTTCACCAAAATTAGGCACAACCTATATGTGTATACATTAAGGATAAAAAACATTTTCAAAATGATATAGAAGACGGTTAACATTAAAAATATTTTTATGGTTTTCGCCCTACAAATTCTCTCGACTTCTCTTGACATTTTGCAGGATAAAGTAATTCGGTTTGATAAGCATATAAAAGAGAAAACGATACTCCTAACGTTATGATTGTGGTGGTTCCTATAGCAAAAAATAAACTCAACGGCATGTTTTTTTTTTTTTAATTTTAAAAAAGTTACACTATGACCATGCACTTAATAGTTTCTGAATATGGTTAAAATAAATAAATAAGCAATCATAAATGTGTGTGAGAGTAGATATTTTTTAATATTGTAAAGACTGACTATCCAATTAATCCTGTTAATAGTCCTTTGTTAAGCCATTTATTCAATGAATAACATCATCGTATAGAAGAAATTCACACCAACAAATGAAAATTGCTCAGTCACATCTATGAAGCACAGTTAGTCAGTCAGTCAATCAATTCATTGACAATTTCAAGATTTTTCAATATGACCCCAAAAAACATACGGAAAATATACATATGTTAATATTAATATTAATATATATATATATATATATATATATATATGAAAAAAACCAAGATTGCGTGTTTTCCATACGTATATCTTTTGGGTTGAGAGAGAGCAATTATATGGAATATAAAAGATTTTAATGGTATATAAAAGATAAATTATCGATTCATTTGTCCAGCCATCGCTTAGTTGTACAAATATATTTCGATTTTTCCAAATAGCTCATTTATCATATTAATATGGGGTTCTCTAGCAAAAACCGGCCAAGAAACGTTGGTTACACGCATGTTTTTGTATATAAATATTTCAAGCCTTATATTTCATCGTTGTATCAAGGAAACAGGATCTGATATTATCACCAATTATAGCATGTAAAAAATTTTGAATTTGATCAGAGGACCTCGGAACCATAAAAGCAGAATGCAATTCTTTATACAAAAATCAATGAAATCCCTTCCCGTTTTTCTAAAATCGATAACGGGAGACCACAATAACCAAAAATCAAATAATTATCTAATTCTTCTTTTCTTCTAATTGTGCATCAACCAACAAAACCTTCGTTTATTTTTATTATGAGAACGATAGGATTTTTTTCTTTACATATTTGCAATAAGTTCTATTCCATCTTTTAATAGGTTTTACACTCATAACCGGATGACTGTTTATCCCCTGTCTGGATTTAAAATAGTGGGTGTAATTTGTGAGAAATAGGGACGGTTCATTACATAATTTCGGAACAGTCATCTTATTTCCAATAAAAATATAGACTTGTGGCGTTGTCGTCACGTTCAACAATGAGGTTTAGAAATCAAAATACCTGTTATCGAATTATTCAATGACAAAATTATCATTCATTAGATGTGATAATAATGGCAAAGAACTACAATTGTGTATGTACACAACCCAGCCTAATTTTTATTGGCTGATCAGGACAAATTTACAAGCGATTTCAATAAAAAAAATTTTTAAAATAAAACCGTATTTGTCAGTCCTTTGGGGCTGGGACCCAAAAAGTCCGGGACTGAACTGTTTCAGGTTCGGTCCCTATAAGTCCGCGTGTAACAAATATTTTTAAAAAAAATTCCACATGATACTGTATATATAATTCTTTCAAAATGTCATCATCAATTGAAAATAGCTTTGAAGTCAATAGCACAACAACAATCACAACCTTTTGTTTTTATTAATGGCAATGATGAAAATATTGATGATGTATTGCATTCAGAAAAATATAATTTATCTTTAAAAGTCACATCAATAAATTCAACATCAACATGTAGTTATTTTAAAAGATCATTTCAAAATCACTATAATCAATCAACTTCAAACAATGAATTTATCAAAAGATATTTAGAAATGCCAGAAGAAGTAAAATTGCTGGATTGGTATTTTACCAGATTTAAAGATCCTAATTATACTGTTTTGTCATATATGGCTTGTGATTTTTTTTTCAATACAAGCAACTAGTATGTCAAGTGAGTCAGCTTTTTAGCATGGCTAAATGTACACCAAGTCCAATTTGTAAATAAATTGGATCCTGAAAAAGCATGAGCAAATTTATGTCTTAAAAGTTGGATTGAAGCAAAGATTGTTTCAATATAAAATATATTAAAATCGGTCGCGTTTACTTCGTCGGAAATTATTTCGTCGACAATCATTCCGTCGACACCCGTTTCGTCGAATGGTCATTCCGTCGAAAATTATTTCGTCGACAATCATTTCGTCGACACCCATTTCGTCGAAAGTTCGTTTCGTCGAATGGTCATTTCGTCGAAAGTTTGTTTCATCGAATGTTCATTTCGTCGAATGTTCATTTCGTCGAAAATTATTTCATCCTCGAGCCAGAGACCGAACGAGTTAGATGCGGGGAGTGTGGGGAGTTGGTTAAGAAATTAGGTGAGGAAAGCGGAGTATGTAGAAATTTGTTTAATGAAGTTTTTTTTTTTGTGACGAAATAATTTTCGACGAAATGAATCAGACCCTTATTTATTTTAATTTCTTTTAGGATATAATTCAATGATTAGTGATATGCAAAATGTACAGAATCAAATGTTCATGATCATTCAAGATATGCAAAGGAAGGTTAATGAAATATATTTAGATTGGAAAGCAGCTGGCTTTGGTAGTAGTCAAGTAGAAAGTAAAATACAAAGTGGATAGATGTAAGAATTGGGCATTATTTTCTTATTAAAATAATACAATAAATATTTTTTATTACGTTATAGAACACAGCCAGTCAAGCAATTTATGCTGAATCTGAGAAGTCAAATATCCAAATGATGAATGCTTAATGCAAGTATGTTATGATGCTTTGTTGAATGCAAATAAGGAAGAATTTCAAAATAAAATGGTGGTTGGAAATGATTTTTTAATAAATGTACATATTTGTTCATTGGTAAGTAAAAGGTATAATTGAATTATTAAATTATTTCCTTATTTCACTTATTGCATTTAAACAGGCTCAGCGAATTTCACGTCAAGCATGAAGCAATATTGTACAGATACTATCCACAATGAACTTACCGATCTTTCTAAACCCAAAACAAAAATCGGCAATAAAGCTCCGAACGAATCGAATAGAATCGAATCAAACTGGATTCCTAAAAAATTTTTAACGTCATATTAAATTTATATTTTTAATTTGATAATTTAAATTTATATTACACAGTGAATCTCAATTAGTGT